CTCCATCCAGACTTTGATACATAAAGAGGGCAAATGTAATTTTAAAAAGATGCTACTGTTAATCTTGTATAGCCCTCAGTTATTTACAGTGAATTTGAATCCAGTTCATGGATTAAATTTCATTCATTGACAGAATGAATGAGCTGCCCCCTAACAAACAAACCCAACATTCAAACCATAATCAAAATTTAGGGACACGGGGTGTAATTTGCTTCTTTTCTGTCAGCAGTAGGTGGCCTCTGTGAAAAACATGCTGGCAGCAAGAAAGCAGCACAGAACTCCTTCTGTATAGTGTGCCAAACAGCAACCTTTACAAAATGAATCTTGGATATCCAAACTGCTGGCAGAAGAATTCAAGCAGTAACCCACAAAACTGCAACACTACAATTTGCTTTCCAAATCTGCCATACCAGCTGCTGGAACAGGGGAAACACAAATGGTAATGAGAACCCTCAACTGTGCAGGGCTATTCTGGAACGCAACTGTAGTCTTTGATCTCTTAATTAGCATGTATGGTTTGTTGCTTTTTTAAACAACTGATGTATCTGAAAGGCTACCTGCTAATGTTTCTACAGTAATAAAATTGATTGATAATGATCTCCATTTAGGTCAACAAAACTAATGAATCTGAACAATTTATAGCATCTATGCTGGTCTTTAAAAAGTGAAGACATTATGGTATATATGAAGAATCTGCAATCCTGACTAGCAAATTAAGCAACCAGAAGCCAAACATTTAAACTTAGAACATCACAACCTCTCTGATTTGACCCTGCTTGGAAATGAGGTGTTACCTCATTCAAGCATTTGAGACGAAGTGGCATTTCTGAATCTGTAAACCCAAAATGTGAATGATACATGGTCTCATCCTAGAGGATAATACACCATCCACTTAAAAATATTAATGATTGAATGTTCTAAACTGCCACAGTCGCTACAGCAACTGAGGAATGTAAAAGCCAAAATGTTTAATTTAGTAAATGAATTGTAAAGTTTTATTTGTCAATCATGCTAATAAATACATATTTAATGATTAATTACATCCTTTTGGGACCTAGAGCAAATTTGTAAGAAGCATTGTTGGTTTTTAAATCATTCAGAGAGAGCCGGGGGGGGGGGGGTTACCCTGGTAAAATCGAACATATTAGATATTCCACAAGGAATAACATTTCCTCTCAAGCCTTATTCAGGAAAAGATGTATGGATCTGAACTGGTTAAAAATTTATGAGGCATCTCCCTTTCAACCTGACCTTGCTTTCAGAAACACCGTTTTAAAGTTAACTGTTAATCCACCCACTGAGAGGCTTCAGGAAGTGATGGAATCTCTCTTTCACTGCAATTTTGAAATTCTGGTAGAATGAAAGATATGAACCAAACCCTCACCCCACAACATTCCCCACACTAGCAGAAACAGCAGCCCCATAAGTCTGGACTTTTGGACACACCCTGAGTCCCTCAGACTAGACCAGGCATTCTTAAACAGGATTCCTTGGAACCCTAGGGTTCCTTGGCAGGTTGTTCATAATTTCATGAGTGCTATCTATCTATCTACTCTCTCTCCCCCCACCCTCTCTCTCACACACACATTGTGTGTGTATGTGAGAGAGAGAGAGAGAGAGAGCGAGCATGCTGGCAACAAAAAAGCAGCACAAAACCCCTTCTGTAAAGTATGCCAAAAAGCAACCTTTATAAAATAAAACCCTAAAGTGCCAGCTGAAGTTTTAGAAAGGCTGGCCGAGATCTAGTGGGCCCATTTATCTGCCAAGCACTAGCAGTAAATTCAGAGAAATGGTAGCAGGAAGAAAACAAATGTAGCTGGTATGTTATCTGAAAGAGTAGATCTCCCAGGCAAAACTACTAGAGCTGACAGAAAACTGGGCACAGGTTTCAGTTAAAAGAGTTTGTGCCATAAGAGATAAATGCTAGCTTTTCTGATTCGTGGGCCATGCTATTAGTTCAGGCAAGCCGGATCACTGGCATCTATTCTCTCTTCATCTTGAATTGTCTCCTTCATTCAAAGCTGAAACTTCCATGATGTAGAACATAAGCTATTCCATAGATCCAAAGCTACTTCTGCATTGCTGTGCTACAATATCTATAAATGTGGAGCCTGGAGCTAGTTGACTGAAAGTTACACTAGATGTTAAATGAAGAGTATTGTCCCTTTTTAAAACTAATTTTCCCTTCCAAAATGTGTTTTCATAGAGATACATTTTTTACAATCAGACTTGCACATTATGCTTGGGCTTACCTCTCAATAACTAGTTATAAAACAATGTAGACAGAATGCAAGGTACAAACACCGCTCTCCCCAAACTCAAAAAGACACATTTTATCACTTGGAGAATAGCTTCAAGAAAGAAAGTCAGAGGGATGTTCAGTGGCATTTCAAACACAAATTGACATCCTGGGAATCCCTGTCTTTTGTTCCCAATTTATTTATTTATTTAGGGCATTTATATCCTGTTCTATCGCACCTCCGCAGAGGGACTAAGGGCGGCTAACAACCAGAACAGCACAGTGCCCACAATAAGAAAAGCATAAATATACATAGTGTAATAAAAACAGTATAAAACAATATAAAAACATTAGAACACATCGCCAAATTCCCAACCATGCAAAGCTGAGTTATGAGTATGTTCCTTCACCGTTCCCTCATGAATATAGGATTCCCATATATTACTTTTTAACCCAAGCTGTATGGCAACCTTTCCCACCATATATGTTTTGCATGACATCTGTTCCCAGGAGTAGATAGTCTGGCTACTGGTCAGAGATAAGGGGAGTTACAGTCAGCCCTCCTTGTCCATTGTATATAATAGGACTTGGGCATGCATGGTAACCCCAGTGGATACCAAGGGTCCCCCCATACAGCCCAACTTCAGGAAAGTATAATGTCAGGAAAGGCTGACTAAAAATGAACCCTTGTGAGAGATGCAGGAGCATGCTCTGAAGTGTATATTACTCCAATGAGAGAATATACTGAGGACATTCCTCAATCTCATTTCTGTGGGTTGTTTTTTTCTATTAGTATGTCAGCATCAAGGGTGACTCAGTTCCCAGTTTGTGCCGGATAGCAGTGCATTTATTTATTTTTTGGATTTATACCCAGCGTCTTCCTGAGATGGGATTCAGAAATAATGTGGGTGTGTCTGTCATTTGCCTATTGTACTATTATTTTCTCTTTGATTGCTTGCCCCTCTTGGTTAAAGGGCAAAACCTACATAGGATGTGGTGGCTGTCTGCAAATATTTGGCTCTACCAGCTATTGCTTTTTTGTTTTGTTTTTTTGTTTGTTTTTTTGGTCAGGAAGAACTGCTGAAGATACCTTTGAAGACTAAAAGTAGAACTATGATTCAGAATAGATAAATACAGGTTAATTTATCACTATTACCTAGCTCCATATTACAATCAATTTCTAAATTTCTAGAGCTAGAAATCATGAGATGACTGTGTCATTTCCAATCTTAGTAATATATATGAATATAAATACCAAACTGATCTGCATATTTATATAAGTTATAACTATTTGGAATTTTACCTAAGAAACACTTTGGAAAGGACAATCTGATTTTAAAACAACTTTTCAACTACCATTAAATGTGGCTAAAATTCAAAGATGAAGCCTATAGCATCCTGTACATTATCACAACAGGAATAAGGTGTCATCAACACATTGACTGACATATTTATTTTTCTCCCTGTTGAAAGTGTGAATTTTGTATGCTTAACAAACAGAAGGTAAATTTGCACTACTAAACAAATACAGCAGAAAAATCATTTGCTTCCTTATAACTAGTTCTTCAAGCAACCAGTTGCAGATGCCATATAGATGGATTCCGAATCTCCCAGAACCTCATCTGGAAACATTCCAAAATGAGGCCAATATTTTGGTGGTTTCTCCAGCCTTCACCCTCAATATACATACTCAAGGGAGCTCAATGTCCCATCTTTCTGCTTAGATCAGAATGGATCACATGCAGTAACATTAGTAAAGATAAAATGGTTGAAATCAGGTAAAATCAATAGCTGCAATGGGTTGGAAAGGCAGACTGAGTCACCACACAGTTGATTACTTACAGCCAAGCAACGTGTCTTTCTTTTTCAGGGTCTCTGTTTGGTCGCATATATAGAAGTGTAGCAAGCTATTTGACTAGAATTGAAGAAAGTGTTTAGTTTACTATTTTCTTCTGAAATGAGCATACGCTCTGGATAATATTGTGTGGCCAAGTGAAGAAACTGTTGGGCAAGCAGTGGCCTTCGTTGCATTAAACCACATGAGAGTTGTGTGTTTAGCCAGTTTATAGAAGAGTTGTATGCTTAATGTTTGTCTGTGGTGCATTGGGAGACCTTTTCTGGGACTTTGATAGTATAGTCAGGGGCCCCACCTGACATCTGCACCCTCGTCCAAACAAATGGCAAGAACGTGTTCAAGATATTAAAAGTACCTCCAGTTAAAAGGTAGAGAACAGAAATGGGTCTTCATTAAGGTGAAAGCAGAAATCACTTTTAAGAAAAGTAAGGCATACAGGCCAAACATCGTTGGAACATGTACCAAAAGATCCATTGGAAAGCTTCTCATGCCCTCCTAACTAATGTGAGGATTACAAGATTGTCTTAGTCAGTGTGCAAAACTGAAAGAAAGGGTCTGTGGCACTCCAGCAAACAGGAGCTACATTTTTATCAGTCCTTTTCTAAATGTCTCATTAAAATGTAAGGGAAAACAACCTGACATACTGTCCATTGGACTATGGAAAATGAAGCAGCTGTTTAACTAAACTTGATTCATGACACCAGGATAGAAAAAAATCTTCAGCTTCTTTTCTAGTTAATTTGAAATTTTCCTGTCACTGTGAATTTTAAGGTAAAGATTTAGTCTTTTCAAGTATTAATTATATATTTTTCCAGGTTATATGAAAGAAAACAGTTTCTAATATGCAATAAAATACAATGCATCCAATATCGGCATTAACATTAGCTACCGAAACTTGTGCTGTACCTTCATGACGTCTCGGTATGACTGTATAACTGGAACATTTTTCTCATTCTCATCATCTTCTCCCTCGTCCAGAGCCTCATAGCCTTCATCTCTGCCTCCATTTGCTTCTGTCACATTAGTCATATGATCAATAAGCTGCTCCAAAGGAGGACTTAGCTCACGTTCTTCATTCTCTTTCAAGCCATAATCCAGTGCTTTATAAATAATAATCCCCAATGATTCAATTACCTGGAAAAGAAGGATATCACTTTTTAAAACACAGCAAATGACTATTTTTCTACTTTAGTCCAAAACTTCTTTAGGGCACCAAGTTGAGGAGAATGCTTTATACTACATAAGCACTTAACAAAAGAAAGAGGTCCTTGGATACATCAGTATTGTGTAAATAGAAGACATTATTTTCAGACCAAAAATGAAAATATCATTACCAATAAAGTGCTATTACCTAAACCCACGTATTCTTTCTCCCCACAAAGTAGTTATGAAAACATCAGAATAGGATGAAGCCTGTGGTGTTGGTAAAACTGTTTCTAGAAAGGTAGCTATCCCATCATTGCCCTTCTAATTGTTGACTTCAAAAGGAAGTCCAATTGATGTTCCATACCACCGTATGCTTGTACTAAAACCACGGCAAGTCTTCTTTTGGTCTTAACATTAAAGCAATGTCTTATGTTTGGGTTTGATTCCCAAGACAATTATTTAGCAAGGGCTGGTTATGGAAATTGCTGGAAATGCAACTTAGGAGCTAGAATGTTTATTTACATGGTCTAGTTTTATTATACAGCTGTTTCAATTTCTTAATGAGATTCTGCATTGCAGTCAGCCATCTACATTCACTGGGGTTAAGGGCAAAGCATTCTTGCAAAACTGAAAAACTACAAATAATAATAGTATTTCTTAAATCTGAGAGAACACCTCTCTAGGACTATCTAGTTTCAGAAGTATGACTCAATGGTCAACTGCCAACTGACTATACTGAAGTAACTAGAGATTCCTGGAAATGTGTTTTTTCTAGGAATTTGATTATTTGTAGATTTGATTGAAATATTATCTATGTCCTCCCAGATGACTGTGGTCAATTTCTGTCAGATTCCTTGAGAGAATATTTCAGTCAAATCTGCAAATAATCAAATTCTTAGAGAATAATAAAACCTGCAAAATTCAAATTTGAAAATGTGGAAGGCCAACTATACTAATGCTTGCTTAAGATATATATGTTCTCTTAGGAGGTATCATAAATATATAGATTTGGGGTGAATATGTCTTGCTATGTTAATGTTTTAGATTGATAGTGTGAGGTATGTTCCTATTATTTTCCTTTCAAGGATGTTTGCTGCCTATTTCCACTTTTTTTTTTAAAAAAAATGTAACATATTGTGAAATAAATTCTGACCCATGAAATAAAACATATATACTGAGCTATATTTTACACTATGAATCACTATGGAACACTATCGATTTATTTTTATTTTCCCTTCCTCCTTTTCTTATATGTGAATGGGAACCGTAAAACTCAAAGTGACTTAGTTTGAATGCACTTGACAAACATAAACCAATATTATCTGAAATGGCCCCAAGGGTAAAATTATACATCTAACCAGCAGAAGCATGAAGATGCACTTAAGAGGAGTGCTCAACTCCTTAGCCACCATTTCTACCCCGCTTTTTTACATTTCAGTCATTCTGAGACATGTTAATATTTATCACAAATACCACTCTCCCACACTTTCAAGATTATAATAGTCCATTGTTTATATGCTTGCCTTTCCCCTTGAGGTTCCTCGTGTTCATAAACAGAATAACAAAGCTTTAATGCACAAGCATACTGTAAACATGAAAAACTCTAGTTTTAAGCCAAAATTCCTGTCACACTTGTAATTCTTTCATTATTTTTTTCTCCAAAGCTGGTCATCCCTTTGTGAGTCTTAGGCTCAAAAATGTTGCTGTCAAGAAATGTCACTATAGTTCAAGATTTTTTATTGGCTTCTAAAGGGTAAAGACACATTTAAAAGGACAAATAATATCCATTCTGCCATGTTACAAGACTTGTCGTGTTTTCATACACTTGGTTCTCAAACTATTCAAAAGCCCAGTTTTCTCTACAATCTATTTTTCCCTCTGTAGCACAGAGAAAGAGTTGGTACCAACACGCAATGTGGAATAGCGAAAATCAACCTGCTGTTGTTGAGATTTTTCCAAAGAGCTGTTAATCCAATCAGGAACATGGATGGTGGGAGGGGATTTTGCCAACCAGCACCTCATCTTATCCCACATCCCAGAAATTGTCAGAAAGCAAAACATAGGCACATAAACTATCAATTCAGTTGGAAATGCATATGCAAGAGCTGGAAGTCTGCTAGGGTGAAACGTTAGTGAAAAAATAATTGTGCAATTGGTTGTGCTTTTACTGAAGTTGTAAAAGCCTGAGCCCTCCTAAAGTCTGGGCCCTTCCACACAGCCATATAACCCGGAATATCAAGGCATATAATCCACAATATCTGCTGTGAACTGGATTATCTGAGTCCACACTCCCATAAAATTCAGTTCAATGTGGATTTTATACAAGTAAGTGGAAGGGGCCTCACTCTGCATGTATACACACAGCATTTTCTCTCAATTTTGACTCAGTGGATGGAGAGCTAGTCAACTATTGTATAACAGGAAGTTCAACACGCTGCATCATTTACTGTGCACTAGACTATTAGTATTAAGCATAGTTACAATAAAAGTAATTTGCATGAAGATATAGTAAATAGGCTCTTAGAACCTTCTGGGGTTTTGTGTGGTTCCAGGACAGCAAATGAAGGCTTTGTTTTTAACTTTGAATATGTATTATTAGATTTAACTATGTAAAAAAATACTATTTATATTTAATTCTGTTTTAATGTTTGCATATTTCTATATTTTAAATTGTAAGCTAAAGAGATAAAGTGGGGTATTAATAATAATAATAATAATAATAATAATAATAATAATAATAATAATTTAAACAGTGTTGAATCCAACTGTGTAACCAGAGCAGAGCAAAGAAAGCGTATCTTTGTTTTAATGGTAACTGCATGCTATTTTGTTCTTATGCTCAGCTTCCCAAATCTTTACTTCTAACACAGCTTGATGTTTTTAAGGCTTCTCCTTCTTTGTGATCACATGTTATCATGACATGTTGTGTTTTACTTCATTGGCACAGACCCCTAAATTTAAAATGAGGTGCCAGTTTTCACCACTGAATCTCTTAACCTTGCCAGGCAGTTGAGTCCTGGCCAATCCTCATCTTCCTGCCAGACGTTCCTTGCTGGAGCTGCAAAGGGAGAAGTGACACACAACTCTGGCAGAGCTGCCACCACTGCATAATTTGTATAGCCCAGCATCTAAGAACACAGCAAGAAGCCTTCTGCATTTTAAAAATATCACTCTTGATGAGGGAAGAAGAAAACCACTTAATATAACCATGACAAAGGAATTAATTTGCTGAAGCAGGCTGTAGACAAGGCAGCCAGTCAGACCTTTAAGACTCTTCAGAAAGGTTGTGGCTCCAAATTAAGAACAAGGAATGGTGACATATACAGAAAATGAGGGAGGTTGGGAGGTGATGGGAGTTGGAAAGATGGAAATGCAACCCTTTGAATTGTAGTGCTAAGGGGAAGATGGTGTATTCTGTAAATGTCATGTTTTTTGGTGCTGTCTAAAACCAGTCTAATAAAAATCATTAGTCCTATGCATTCTTCACTGAAGTTGTTTCTTGGAAATTTTATGTAATAATATAAAATCATACACTTTCCAAGAACACACTTGATTTTTTTTCAGATACAATTAAAAAAAAAACTTTCTGAAGCACCAGTATGATTCTTGTGAAATAGACATTTAGAAGCTTCTTCCTATCCTCTAGATCAGTGGTTCCCAACCTTTTTTTGGCCAGGGACCACTTTGACCAGGGACCACTCTCCAACTTTACTACCAAAAAGGTTATGAATCAGTTTTTGGCCAACTTTAGATTTGGTTTGGTTATTTGGGGTGCTGATTCAGAAAATTGCATTGGATAGACCACATCAGCTCTACTTTCTGATACAGAACATATGCCATCCAGTAGTCGCCATCTGCTTGGGTGAAACCATTGGGTGAAACATAAAACCATTTTTAATAAGCCTCTGCACTATAAAAGGGTTTAGCGAGACCACTCACTCTCGTTGCTATGGTGTAATAATGGTGAGGTCTTGGACCATATTTTAGTTCTCGCCAACCACTGGTGGTCCACGGACCACAGGTTGGGAACCACTGCTCTAGACAGAATATAGTGTTGTGTATTTCAGGAATTGACAGAATGTAAGACAAATTTTGACAATTGCTCTAATGCGCATGTGGCATTGTTTAAATCTGTATTTGAACTGCAACTGTGTGTGAATTAGACATGTATGCAATGACCTGTAAATCACAGTGGCAGTCCTTTTTCTTAGTTTTCCCTTCTTTCCAGATATCCTTTACTCCTGTGTATAAACAAGGGCCTTTTAGTTCTTCATGTGATACCATTCAGTAAAATAAAGGAAAATCTCTCTGTCTTGGTTTCTCAGTACTATTTTAAATGTACAAACACACTCTCTATAGTGCAGAAGGGCTGGGTCTGGTTCCAGGAATTGCAGCAGATCAGACTGATGCATGAGATTGCTCTAATATAACTTCTGATTGGTTTCAGCAAATCTCACAAGATCTGGAAATAGATACATAAATGCATGAAATCAAGTACGTATAAATATCCTCAAGCATGATTTGAGCCTGGGCCCCTTTGGACTTTTAGGCTATACAAAAGTGTACACATTTCCCTGTCATGTGTTGATAGACCAGGGAGTAACACCGTGATCTAGCTGCTAAAGATTTCAACTTTTCTGAAACTTTCTTTGCCTGGTCTCCATTTCACATGAGTACACACAACCCATGCTTGACTCTATAAAAAAAAGATCAACACGAGAAGGGAATTTCATAATCTCTCAATGCTTATGAGGATCTGAATTCTGTTTCTACTCCCAAGTACAACAGACCAATTGAATCAATGGGACTACCCAGTGTATTGACTCACTATTCAACAATTTACTCTATGGGTTCACTTTTTTTTAACCAATAGGATTCAAGACAATATCCTGAAGGCTTCCACTTAACATACAATAGTAGCATTCCTACGTTTGTCCAAATCAACTAGTACACAACAACCAAACTGTGTTAATATAAGAATCTTACAG